GGCTCCACACCCAGCGAGGAACTCAACCCAGGGCTAGACACAAGACTTGATCTCATGACCCTGAGAGCTGAAATCAAGAGATAGATGTTTAACCGACTGATCCACCCAGGTGCCCCAAGGTATACTTTGAAAAGCATACTTGGCCCACTGTAGCAACTAAAATATAAGTTTGATTTCTCTAATAGACACGGAGAATAGTTGTGACTTAAATAAAATGGAAGTGTATAGCAATCTGGCCATAAGTAGTCATACCAGGCTGGTATGACTCAAGGTAGGAGGGATCCTGGCTTCTTCTTATCTTGCTGCTCCAGAGTTCCCATGGTGTTGTCTTTGACCACATGTTTCTTTTAAAAAAAATTTTTTTTTTTAATGTTTTTATTTATTTTTGAGACAGAGAGAGACAGAGCATGAGCAGGAGAGGGGCAGAGAGAGACGGAGACAGAATCTGAAACAGGCTCCAGGCTGTCACCACAGAGCCTGATGCGGGGCTCGAACTCACGAATTGCAAGATCATGACCTGAGCCAAAGTCAGACGTTTAACCGACTGAGCCACCCAGGCGCCCCTCACCACATGTTTCAAGATGGCTTGCCACCAAGTCTCATCCCAGCCAGGGACAAATGGGAACATGGGGGGCACATGCCTTGGGGCTCATGACCTCATAGTTACACACGTCTCTTCCATTCACATCCTATTGGCCAAAATTTAAATCACATGATCATATCTAACTTCAAGAGAAGCTGGGATATTTAGTCTTTGAGGTGCTATGTCCCACTAAAATTCAGGAATCCTATTAACTATAGAATAGATTTTGAAGGATATCTACCAGCTTCTGTGGCATCCACCATCTCGGATGTATTTTTTGCACATGATTACACTCCAGCCTGCCCTAATTTCACTCTCACACCCTCTAATCAGTCGGGCTTCCATGCTGCTATCAAAGTGCTTTCCAATTCGGAGTGCTATTATGGCACTCCCCTGCTCACACACCAACCCTGAATCCCTAGAACCTAGAAAAGTCATTCTCAAACTTTAACATGCATCAGGAATCACCTGGAGAGTATGTTAAAACAGAGATGTCTGAAGCCCCCGGCAGAGCTTCTGATTCAGTGGGTCTAGGACCTGAGAATTTGCATCTTTAGTAAGTTCCCAGGTGATGCTGATGCTGCTGGCTCAAGGACCACACTTTTGTTTTTTTAAAGATTTCATTTATAATGGGGCGCCTGGGTGGCGCAGTCGGTTAAGCGTCCGACTCCAGCCAGGTCACGATCTCGCGGTCCGTGAGTTCGAGCCCCACGTCAGGCTCTGGGCTGATGGCTCAGAGCCTGGAGCCTGTTTCCGATTCTGTGTCTCCCTCTCTCTCTGTCCCTCCCCCGTTCATGCTCTGTCTCTCTCTGTCCCAAAAATAAAAAAAATAAAACGTTGAAAAAAAAATTAAAAAAAAAAAAAGATTTCATTTATAAGTAATCTGTACTCCCAATGTGGGGCTCGAACTCACAACCCCTAGAGCAAGAGTCGCATGCTTTACCGACTGACCCAGCTAGGTGCCCCCAGGACCACACTTTGAGAACCACTGAACTTGAGACTAAATCCCATGCCCCTTAACCTGCTATTCACAGCCAGCCTGTTCTCAGCCTACTTTCCAGTTTCATTTCTTATCCTTCCCTTCCCCCTCCACACACCTAAGGCTCCAGTCACAGTGCAGTTCTCACCTCTCTCTAAGCGGGCCAGCTGTTCACACCTTTGTGCCTTGCTGTTCCTTTTGTCTGCAATGTCTTCTGCCTGGCAACTTCCTTTCCACATCCTCTCTGAATCCTTTCCTGACCCTCTAAACTGTTGTTAAGTCATTCTGTGCCCTAGGTCCCTGCAGACCTTGTACATTCTTCTATTATTGTTCTTCACAGAGCTCTCAGCCATGGCAACAAGGTCACTGAGTGAGGAAACAGGAGTATGAATGAGGAAAGGGAGGCAAGTAGATGGAGTGAATGAACAAAGGAGGTGAGTGAAAAGAAGAAATGATGAGTTAATACATGAACAGGTGAGTTATGGTCCATTTGTGTTTGGTTGTCTCCATTAAGTCCTGAGCTCTGGAGCAGAAAGGGAAATTACTCCCTGACCACATTAGTACAAAGTTACAGCCGTCACTTACTTCTTAGCAAGATTTAACTGGGACCCAGTATCCATCAAGCCAATCCCCCAGAGTGTTCAGGAGCTGGCAGGGGCTGGGGACTCACACTGGGTCATTTCCTGACATCGGGGCTTAACCTCCATTCAATCCTCCCTATTCTCATGCACGCTGGTGTTTCCAAAAGTCAGTTATAAGACATTTGGGAATGTGGAGAAACAATGATGGTGGATGCCTTTCAGGGCCAAGATACAAAAGGCTTTTTCACCAGACAAGTGATAAGGTGTCAGGGTTGTTTCAAATTAAAATAGTAGGTTTGAGGTGCTAGAACTACTCTCTCCCCCGCCATGGGGAACCCAGCTTCCTCCAACCCCCATAAAGGAAGTCTCCTTTGGCTCCAGCAGACACGGATGTGGCCATTAGAAGGGACTCCCTGTCCCACTGTGGTTGTCAACTCAGCGATGGTGCTGAGCATTTCCTGCACCACAGCTGTATAGTTTCAGAAGGCATTGCACCTCTTTGAGCTTCGTTGTCCTCCTCTGCAGGGTGGAAATAGTTCTATTCACCTTGTAGGTGTGTGGTGAGCATCAAAACATGCCAGTAGAGGGCCCAGTGCAGTACTAGGCAGATAGTAGGTGTGCGACAGAGAATAGTGTTCTCGCAACTGATCCTTCAAAGTCTTTTCCCTAATGAACCAGGCCCAGTCAGAATTCTGGGGTTCTTCCTCCTATTTATAATACCTGCCTTCCTCTCACAATTTTACCCAATTTGGGGATCTGTCATCCTACCTCCTCCATAAAATGGTCTCTGCTCCTGGAACTCTTTACCAGTGATGCGTCTCTGGGGAGGTCTGGCTTAATGAACATGGAAGTGAATGGTTAAGCAGGGGATCTGCAAGCTGCACAGGTTCTGCAGTGCCCAAACCTAGGAGTGTCATTCATATCGGCCATAAGGGAGTGGGGCCCCAGTGAGTTCTATAATGAAGAGTCTGTGTCTGCAAGTCAAATGGACTTGAGTTTGAATCTTGCCTCAACGATGATTTATTAATTGCTGATCACCTAGGCTTGTTTTCCTCATCTGTGAACGGGATGTTATTAGTACCCACCATGTAGGGTAGCTGAGATTTGTAACTTAACAAGTTTAGAACAGTGCCTGGTATAGAGCTAACATTTACTGAGTACTTAATTTTATCGCTAATTCACTAATCAAATTCATTAATGAAATTAAGTGTTAGGTGTCTTTTCTGAGAAGGTTCTAAGCAATCTGCAAACAATGAGTCACTGAAAAACAGCAGCTAGGCTCTGCACCTAGTGGGAGGCAGGCCCTCATGCTGTCCTTTCTCAGAACTCCACTCCAACCTTCCTTCTTGCCAAAGTCCACTTTCATTAGTCAGGCCCTTTTTTAGTTGACAAGTGATGAAACACCAAAGCGACCTAGCTTAAGCCTAAAGAAGCATCTGTGGACTGATGTAATTGGAAGGTCCAATGGGAGATCTAGGGCTCCAGCTACATCATTAAAACTTTATCTCCTTCTCCATCTCCTGGCTCTGCTTTTGAGTTGGCTTTATTCTCAGGCAGGTTCTTCCCCATGGCAAGAAAGTGGGTCACCAGGTGGTCTAAGCTTACATTCTAAGGCTTTTGATCCAAAAGAAGAGAAATCCTCTTCTCTCAGCATCAGAACAAGCTTATGGAAGGCCTCTGATTGGCCCAGTTCAAGTCAGATGTCCGTTCTTTAGACCAATTATCATGGATAAAGAATAGGGTGCTGTGACTGGCCAAGTTGGGGTCATGTATCCATCCTAATTTGACAGTTCCACAAGAGCCATATGGAATGGGGAAGCGGCAGGTCTAACAGTAGTGCTGAGCATACAAGAATGTTGCCTGTCCTTGCCATCCTTCTTTATGGCTCAGTTCACAGGTCACTTCCTCAGGGAACTGTCCCCTCCCTTGTCCTGTGTAGACCTCAACCTTCCCACAGTAAATTTACAAATTATTTTCTGACTCCCTGACTAATCTGGGACCAACTTGAGACAGGGATGAGAGCACATTTATTCATCTCTATCGCCTATACCTTGTTTCCTTCCCGGGCTGTGGAAGAGACATTATTGGTGGCCTATCCAGCATCCATTTCCCCATTCCTACTCAGATCTTTATTGAGTTCCCCCGTCTTTCCCCATTGCCTTGGGCTTGGTGGGGAAGCAGACTCCACTCTCACTAGTTAAAACCCATCAGAGTCATCCCTTGCCACAGTGACTGATTCAGGAATAGGCATGTGAGAGTTTGTTTGGGCCAGCGAGACATAAGGGTATTTGGGAAAGGCTTCTTGCTTTTGGGTGGGCCAGTGAAACCAGTTGGCTCCTTCCTGCCCTCTCTTGTGCTGGATGTTGACTGCTACTGGCTGCACAGCTGGAAGAAAATTCAGTTTAGGCAAAAGCTGACATCATAGAAGGCAGTACAGAGATAACCTGGACCCTTCATGGCCCTGTTGAGATGCTGGGTTGGCCAACCCTGGAGGCCATCCTGCCCCAGGACCACCAAGCCCCAAACCAACACATTTCCTTCTTATGAATCCACTTGGAGCTGAGGGTATTGTTACTTGCAGCCACAAGTACCCTGAGAGCTCTTCCTGAATGAATGACATGGGTGAGTGTCCAAAGGCTGAGAGCCACCAAGCATGCCCTCCCCTGCCACCCACACCAGTTCTTTTCTTTTCTTTTTTTTCTTTCTTTCACACCAGTTCTTTTCTAACCTGTAGTTAACAGACATTCAAAGATTTGGGATACTTTAAAAAAAAAAAAAAAAAAACACAGCAGTCACTTTACTTTTAGGTTTGCACTTTACAAAACCACAAGGGAGAAGTCCTTGAGGGAAAGAGGGGAGGGAGTGGGGGATAGTAAAGAGGGGGAAGCACAGAGTGGGCCTCAGGCCAGCCCAACAGGGCCTCCCATGTCCTGGTTGTACAGAGCTAGACCAATGACTTCAGGGAAGGGCCACAGACCTCTACAGACTGTCATCATTTGACATTAACAGGCAGTCACAGGCCTAGGGTTCCGGCAGGCCAAGGAAAGAAGTGGGCTCCCTAGCCCTCCTTCCCCCAGGCCAGGGGAAGACAGTCTGAGGCAGGGGTGAAGGCTACCCATCCAGCAGCTTTAGGATGCTCTCACGTTCCTTCAGAGTCTTCCAAGCCTGGTCCTTCTCCTTCTTGGTGGGGGTCCGCTTCTTCTGCCGGGCAGCCATGATCTTCCGGAAGGCATCCATGACCTCATTGTCTGCCATGCGGACCCGCTGTCTCAGCTCCTGCCGGCTTACTTCCTCCTTTGCCAGCCTGTAGGGACCAGCCAACCAAGGTGTCATGGGAAGCCCACCTCCATAGTGGGGTCCCTCTCCCTCTTCCAGACTGAACCCACCTACCACCCCAGGATGGCACTCCTGTGGGCTGTTTCATACCAAAAAGCTAAGTTACTGACCCACACTTCTACGATACTATGTGCTAGTTACTACCTTAAGCCCTTCAAATATGTCAGCACAGTTAATCCTCATAACAGCCTTGTGAGGTAGGTACTATTATTCTGATATTACCAGTGATGAAAGAGGTCAAGGAGAATAAAAAACACTCCTAAATCCTACAGCTAGTGAGTAGGAGATCTGAACTAAGGCAGGCTGGCTCCACGCAATCATCTTTAAAAGGTATTCTAGGGGCGCCTGGGTGGCGCAGTCGGTTAAGCGTCCGACTTCAGCCAGGTCACGATCTCGCGGTCCGTGAG